ACCTGTGTTAGAAATGTGGTGCTGTGAAGACGGGCGTCCAGAGGAGACTCCACCTCTGCTCCTCTCAGATCCACACACAGCTGATCGGCCCACTTGTTGTTAAAGTGGGCATCCAAACAGCAATATGGAAGCTGGAACAAATTTGTGCATTCCTCTGGCGCACTTAAACAACCCATCAGTGCTGCCAGCAACCTCTGTTAATATCAGTTAAAATAGAAATCATGAAAGGACTCGCGAGGCAGGATTTTTAAAGCTGTGTAACGTTTTCTGCATTAAGACTCAGCAGGACTTGATCTTGCATAATTTCTTTATTTATAACCTCAGAAGCAGAGAGACTAAAAATGACTGTAAAGATTGGGCTCTCGCACCTTTTTGGCCCAGAAGCTGAGCTCTTTGCTGACCAGCTGTAGCAGCTCTGAGTGACAGAATGGCAGGAAGTAGACGATTTCATTGATACGGCCCAGGAACTCGTCCCTCCGGAAATGAGCCTACAGAGGAACAAAAGGCCCATGAGCCTCTCAGACCCTGCAGCCTGTCTGTAGCTACACCAAACAAGATGGTTTTTACGTATTTGTGTGCATCATGTGTTTTACCTTCAGGATTGGTCGAATCACAGATTCTTTAAACTGTCTGGAGATTTTAATGTCATCACTTTTCTGTACGTCCTCTGGAGGAAAAGGAGGAGATGAGCAATAATGTCCTTTCTGGTTTTTAATCATCTGAAAGCTGTTATCACAGTGCTACAATGTTCCTTTATTTTGCAAGAATGAGAAAATTAACTGCAACATGACAAAGTTAATTTATAGATAATTTAATTTCTGTGTCCGTTTAACACAACATCAGATGGAAATGTATAATCACATTGTACAGTGTCATCAGTGTGAAGACCGGAGCACATTAGCCAGGCTGCATATACATGTTAGGGCGTTTCTCTCACCGAGGTTATCGGCCAGCTTCCTGCGGCTGACCTGCTCGGCTTCCTGGCGGAGCTGCAATGCATGCTGGGCTATCTCATCACTTGCGACGTTCGACGTCATGATGAAGATGGCATCTTTGCATTCGATTGTCTTTCCTTTACCGTCTGTAAGACGACCCTGAAAGAAGAACACCACCAATCAAATAAAGTTTCAGTTTATTTCTGTTTTATCAAAGACGGACATACACGCACACGATGGACGTAAGAAGCTGTGTGCTCGCCTCATCAAAGAGCTGCAGCATGATGGTGAGGACATCGGGGTGGGCCTTATCCACTTCATCAAACAAGACAACAGCGTTAGGACACGCCCTCAACAGCTTGGTCAGCTGACCGCCTTCTTCATGTCCCACATATCCCGGTGGAGAGCCAATGAACTTTGCCACCTGAGCGCGGACAGAGAAAAGATGCACAATAAGTCTAAATAACACAACAAGCTGATTCGTTTTATCAGGATCACACTAAATAAGTATGCTCAGCCACCCTCTGCAACAGAGACTTCAATATTTCCACACGCTTCACACCATGATCCTGTTTGCTGCATCGGGAACGTTTTCAGTGCATCCAAAAGAGGTTTTCTGAAGCACTTCAATAACCAATTTTGTTGAACATTATTTCAAATGACAGGAAAATGTATAGACTTATCTCAAATGAGGTAAAGCAGAGCTGCTGCCTTTAATCTCAGAGGGCCTTTTATGGTAGAGTCCATGTCAGCCCCCAAGCTCCGATCCTAGCCATGAAAATCTCAAACATTTTACCCATTACAAATTATCCGAAGATGTTCATAATAATCTTTGCAGCTGTAATCACCAGCTTGCTGTGTTCAGTGTTTCACTTATGCATCTGACGCAGCTTTTCTGAATAACAACAGACCTTCG